ATTCACCCAAGCCAAACCGCAACCTAGAATCATTCACTACAAACCGCATCTCATTTTTCACCTCATGATGTACTTCTCTCATAAGCAAATGGTGCATAACCCGAATCTGCACAATCACTGGTGGCAGATCCAAAAAATAGCCAAAGCATGTTTTCTTAAAAAGTCGAAGTTGCCTCTTTGATAAATTCGCTTTCAATTGATGAATAACATGGCAGTTGGTATCCCAATCAACCTTTGGTTTATAATCTAAGTCAATAGGCACAAGGAAATCCCAACACTGCAAAACATGTTCATATAAAATAATTTCAGAAATAGAATTCACTTAAAATGCAACTAAACCAACTAAAAATATCACAACTACCATACGATACCAACACGACATATAATTATACCAGCAGGGTATACAATTATACTGACTAATTTCCGGCAACTACAAATGACTATACTACTATTACATAACAGATAGGAATAAAGAGAAAAAGCAAAAAGGAATGCAGCTATAAAGTATTTTCAAGATACTGTACGATACTACTATTATTAAAGGAAAAACAAATAGCGAAGACAGCTAAAAAAAGATCCAGAAGCATATGATAGTATATAGCTATACTAACAGGGTAAATAGTTGTACGGTGTTGTTCCAATAACTGTCTATAACTATAAAAACTATCACATAACACACATACACTATGTCTATAGGCACAAAACTTCTATGGGAAATATCATGCGTGCCATTGCCACTGCAACAAAACACCAGTTACGCAACAATCAGATAAAGAACATAAATGCAAGTTTTTAGAAGAAGACCTCAGAAGTCAAAAGAGCTGCTGCATGCACCAGAAATTATACAAGTTTTACAACCTTAGGGTGAGTGTCTTTCTCACAGGTTTAGATTGTGAATTACAAAAAAAGCTCAACTTAGCCTGCCAGCTTCTTCATAAGGTGATTCATTATGTGCCTTAAACTCATCAGGTTCTCTCTAATACCGCTTATTCAAGTTGCTAACTCTGCATAAACAGCAAAGTCTGGATGGGGGACATATAGCAGATTTGGCTGTAAAAATATTCATTTTCACTCACTACCGACTACCATCACATGATATCACCAAACAATCTGGTGAATTGCTATGAAGGAAACATAAAAGCAGCAAGTATAGTTAACTGATAAAAGAAGGGAATCCCTCTTTCCATCGGAATGACGGTCTAAAGTCAAAAATAGAAGCTGATTCCTAATCCAAGGTAAGTGGGACATATTGGTTCTTAAGAAGTATCTAAAAGCTAACATCACGCTTGGCTCTCAGGATATGCAAGGGAACCTTTGTCAAACAAACATAGGAGCAGAAAGACACAGAGCTTCAGGATGATTCGTAACTAGCCGTGAAGAGCATCTTCAAGCTTTTGAAACTAAATTTTGCCTACCTAGTGACTGCCGATCTCCTTACAAAATTTGAAAATCATGGGCCGCTCATTGGTGGACATGCTTTCTAAGCAAAAGATTTCTTTAACCCAATAGCATTGCCTCCTTCCAGACTCAAGTACTATGTCAATCATGTAACTGAGTACCTGGCATCTTTTTTTGTCTACTACTTAGCACCAATTCAACAAATCATTTTCATTAGAAAATAAGTCAATCATGTCCTAACTTATTACTTAAGGTTAAGGGATTCTTCAGATGGTTCAAAAGGGACAATGGGTGTTATTCAGAAAACGCCCCATACATGATCACTCTATCCCGATGCCTGCCTATAATCAATGCCAGTGGACCAAGTCCGTGGGGCTTCTGCACATTGACCCCATCCACACCATGCCACCTATAAAGAAAAGCTCATTCTGCACACATAACTTACACGGTCCCATTCCTTCCATACTTGCTTCTCACTACCACTATCAACTGGCCTAAACACTAGATCACGTACAAAATCATCTAATGCAAACCTGAAAATCAGAAATCACACAGAGCAACTCTGGCTTCAATAAATTTGGTTGAAAACAACAGCTACTGATTGACGGCACTAGTGAATCGACGACCATTTTTTTAAACCTCAAGCAGAACATTAATTTAATCTGTCTATTTAATTCAAAAAATTAACACAACTGATTGTAACTATAATATAATACAAAAGCATAACAGGAAATCAAAAAATAACAATGTACTATACATTAAAAATCGCAAAGATCATAATTGTAAGAAAATTACCTTCTTGGGTGCGACACCAATTTTTCTCTTCTTTAACTGAGAATCATCGCTACAATCAAGATCTACTGGTTGAGTCTCTGTTTCATGCACGGATTCACGTCGGCTTCCCCCTAACTCAGAATCCTCAACAACTTTACCTTTTCCCTTATCAGTCACAGAAACACCTCCTATGACTGGTTCGGAATTTGTGTCGGGTAATGACAGGTAGGGAGTTTCATCGACTGACGCGGCATTAATATTTTTGCCTTTTCCACCCTCTAATTCTACATTTTCAGTTGTGTTTTCAACATGACTACTGCTAGGGTTACGACTAAGTGGAGACTGAGAATCAGAAAATAAGGAAAAACTAGGCCCAGACATGGCTGAGGCAACGAATTCAGCAGCTACTTGTTTTGAAGAATGATATTGTCCAAAGCGCCACCATCTACGCGCACAACTCTTTCGACCCATAGAGAAAACAACAACCCATAGACATTGATTCACAAAAGTACAAAGGAAAACATAAAAATCCTATGATTTTGAAAATCCACTTTCACTAAAATGTACTTTCAGAAGCAAAAAATGCACCCAAAGCAAAAATGTCACCCAAAATAGGTACAGACGAAGAGATTAGAACGGAATACGGAAGAAAAAAATTACAACTCGAATGTGTTTCACTTTTGCGTTCTCATCGGTTGGCTATGGAGTTATGGAAAGTGTACTCTGTTAACTGATAGAGAAAGAAGGAAAGCGTGGGAAGAATGGGCTGGATCGAAGATAATAGCGAGATGGGTAGATCGTGGGAAGAATGGGTTGGATCGAAGATAAGGGAGAGATGGGTAGATTGGGCCGCGTGAAATATAGGGGCCGGGTAAATAGATTGGGCCGACTGGGTAGGCAGGGTAAATAGTTTGGGGATGGGTATTAAAAGGTAAATAGTTTGGCCCTAATAGGTATAAAGTGAGATTTTCCCTAAAAGAAAGTGGAATATATGGCATCTTTCAAAAGTAAGTAGCATTTTTATTTGAAGCAATTAATAAAAGATCCGACTGCAAATTAATCTTTTTTAACCAATTCACATGAATATAATATAGAATTTATGATTCGAAAAAGGGTAAAAAATATCCCTTTATTATACGAAAAGCATTATCTATATTCTCTATTATAACTATTGATCTACTATAGCCCGACGTTATTGTACTCGTAAAAAAGATATCCTTCCACATTTAACGTCCTTATTCACCATAGCAATACCGTCGCACATGGCATTACATTTTACTAAGATGAATATCACGTGGAATACTACCTCACTGCCACAAAAATATGTAATGGAGTATAAAATTGTGATCTAATAAATTATCCTAACAAAAGATTCTCGTAACGAAATAAAAAAAGTAAAGGAGGAACAGAGGTTTAAGGAAGATTTTATATTTGGAAAACAAATTGAGAAAAATATAATTTTTAGTCGCTCCCAAAATAATAGCCGATGAAATATATATATATATATATATATATATATATATAGGCTAGTAATGCAATTAGTTTTTGTATTGAAAATTCAGATGTAATTTTAGCTACATGAAATTCTCAATTATGTCTAGAGAATAAGTATTGTAGAAATTAACACGTGATTGATGCACTTGTACAACTGTATTAGTTTGTTAGAAGTTACTTGTAGAAGTGAGTGATAGATGAAGTAGTGAAAGTCTATATATATGTGCATATGGATGTATGTATTTTGGCTTCTTTTTCAGAAAGTTAGTTAAAACTGATTTTCCCTCCATGGTCTCTTCTTCTTCGATTCTCTCAACTACCTTCTTCCACTCAACAATGGTGGATTTCTACATGGTATCAAAGCTCGAGTAAATCGATCGAGGCTAGGAATTAATCAGTTGATACAACTTCTGAAATCATCAGTTCAAACTTTTGAAGCCAACTTTTGACAGTCAGTCATGGCGAATCTAGACATTGACAATCCCCGTCATCCTCTGTATTTGCAACCTTCTGATAATCCTGGAAATGTCATCATATCGATACAGCTCAAAGGAACTGAGAATTATTCAGTTTGGAGCAACGCGATGGTAATTGCATTGCGAGCAAAGCGCAAGCTAGGGTTCATCGATGGGAGCTGTACAAAAGCTCAATTTACAGTCGACTTGGAGGAAGAATGGGAGCGAGTGAATGCTACTATTTTGACATGGATTATGAACGCGGTTTCACCAGATCTGGTCAATGGAATCGTATATGCTAGCGATGCTCATGAAGTTTGGCTAGATCTGCAGGATCGTTTTGATAAAGTTAATGGATCCAGGATCTACAACCTTCAGAGGGAGATAGCTACCATTTCTCAAGGTACATCTAGCATTTCAATTTATCATTCTAGGTTGAAGTCACTTTGGGATGAATATAATTCCATGATTCCTTCTCTTCCTATTACGGCTGGAACTAGAGATTTTATCGAACACTTGGAACAGCAGAAACTTTTTCAGTTCTTAATGGGCTTAAATGAATCCTATAATGTAATTAGAAGTCAGATTTTACTTCAATCTACATCACCTTCTGTCAGTCGTGCCTATGCAAAGTTAATAAATGAAGAAAATCAAAGATGAGTGTTTGTGACTAATTCACATACTAATGTGACAAATGAAGTAAATCATTCTACTGCTCTAATGAGTTCTAGAGATAGTCAGTCAAAGTTTAAGAGGTTCAATAATTTGTACTGTGAGTATTGTCGAAACGAAGGACATACAAGAGATACCTGTTACAAATTGGTTGGATATCCATATGGTTTCAAGGGGAAGAAATCACAGTAGTATAGGCAAGCTAACATGGCTATGAGTGATAGCAGTTCTGGCAAAAATGCTGTTGCAAATCAGTATAATGCAGGGATGAGTCAAGGAATGCTCAACTTCTTTACTGATGAGCAAAACAACCAGATCATGAAGATGATAAGCAAGGACAAATCAGAAGAACATGCAGCAAATATGGCAGGTAATGCTAATTCTCAATCTCTAGAGGATCTAGGTGACTACTGGATTGTAGATACTGGTGCTACTGACCATATGGCATCTAATAGTGAAATGTTGAAAACAATGACTGGATTACCTGACTCAAGTAAAGGTAATGTGAACCTCCCAAATGGTAAGACTGTGCCTATCATCTGCAAAGGAATTTACAAACTTACAGATCATGATGTGATACATGATGTGTTGTGTGTACCTGATTTTAAATACAACTTGTTGTCTGTGTCAAAATTAACTAAGGAGCTGCAATGCTCAGTTAATTTTTTCCCAACATTCTGTGTATTTCAGGACCTATACACTGGGAAAGTGAAGGGGATTGGTAAGGAGAAGGGTGGTCTCTATCTACTGATCCCTAAAGGGTCTAACAGGAATAAAATGGCACAAAGGATCAGCAGTTGTCTTTTAGAAGGAATGCAAGCAGACTTCACTACCTGGTATAGAAGGCTTGGGCATGTGCCAGTTAAAGTCATGAAGCAGTTAGATTTCCTTAAAGACAAGAAGTTTTCTGATTGTGAACTCAATAATTGCACTGTATGTCCTTTAGCTAGGCAGACAAGGAAACCATTTCCTTTAAGTAGCAACAGAGCTGAAGACATATTTCATTTGATTCATGTAGACATTTGGGGTCCATATAGAGTGCCTACATATAATGAAAATAGATAATTTTTTACTCTTGTTAATGATCACTCCAAGATGATTTGGATTTTTTTAATGAAATTGAAAAGTGATACTGTTGTTGTGTTAAAATCCTTTCTTAGAATGGTATATACACAGTTTGGCAGGAATGTCAAAGTGCTAAGAACTGACAATGGTGCAGGGTTCTTTAGTCATGAATGTCAAGATTATTAGATAGATAATGGTATTTTGCATCAAAGCAGCTGTCCACAACTCCACAACAAAATGGAGTTGTGGAAAGAAGACATAAACATGTCCTGGAGGTGGCAAGGGCTTTTAGATTTCAAGGCAGCATTCCTTTGCAATTCTGGGGAGATTGTGTACTAGCTGCAGCATATCTTATTAATCGACTGACTTCTTCAGTTCTAGCAGGGAAATCTCCATATGAGGTTTTTCATAAGAGAGCACCTAATATGACACACCTAAGAACTATTGGATGTCTGTGGTTTGCTACAGTGACAGAAAAGGTGGACAAATTTTCTCGTAGAGCCATCACTGCTATTCACATGGGATACTTAGTATCTCAGAAGGGATACAAGTTATATGACTTAAGGAGAAGGAAGTTCTTTGTTAGTAGAGATGTCACATTCAAGGAAGACATTTTTCCTTTTCAACTGGGAAGGATGATACACAATAAGATCCTATGTTCTTAGAGCTGAAATCAAAAGAGGAAGGCTATTCTTTGCATCAACAACAACCACATGTGTCAGGAGAAGGGCATGATGCAGTCAAACAAGGTATTAAGCATGGTCATGAAGTGATACAACAAGAGAATAACTTTATAGGAGCTGATCCAGATCATGGTGAACAGCTACCAGATACTGAGGTTGATCATAATGTGCAGACACCAGCTAATGAAGCCATTGAGGAAGTTCAAGCTGTACAACTCAGAAGATCCAACAGAGGTTCCAAGCCACCTATTTGGATGCAAGACTATGTCTGCCCAGTCAATGGAGCATCATCATCCACCTGCACATATCCAATATCCAACTATGTGAACTATAGTGCCTTGTCAGCTACTTATCAATCTTACTTGACTGCTACCTCACAAGAGACAGAACCTACATCATACACAGAAGCCATGAAGGACCCATGATGGGTTGAAGCCATGGCAGAAGTGGATGCCTTGGTTCTGAACAATACTTGGGAGATAGTTGATATTCCTAAGGGTAAGGTGCCCATTGGGTGCAGATGGGTATAAAAAATTAAATACAGGTCCAATGGAGAAGTTGAGAGATTTAAAGCAAGACTTGTTGCCAAGGGTTACAGCCAACAAGAAGGTCTAGACTATCAGGAGACCTTTTCTCCAGTTGGCAAAATGGCCACAATGAGATCAGTCATTGTATTGGGTGCTATGCATCAATGGCCTCTTTTCCAAATGGATGTCTACGATGCATTTCTTCAAGGTGATCTTGAGGAAGAAGTTTACATGCAATTGCCACCTGGTTTCAGCAACCAAAGGGGGATTTCTAAGGGCTGTAGACTGCTTAAATCACTATATGGACTTAAGCAAGCATCAAGACAATGGGCTTGAAACTCACAGAGGCTCTATTGGTTGCAGGTTTTATGCAAAGCAAACATGATCACTCCTTCTTCATCAAAGAGGAGAGTGGAAAGCAAGTTTTTATACTTGTATATGTTGATGACCTTCTAATCACAGGCAATGACACTACAATGATTCAGGAAGCAAAGATCATAGTACACAAGGCTTTCAAGATTAAAGACCTAGGAAACTTGAAATACTTTCAGGGCATTGAGGTCTGCAGATCTGCAAAAGGAATTCTTCTATGCCAAAGGAAGTATGCTCTAGAACTTATAGCTGAATTGGGATTGTCTGGTGCTAAGCCTGCCATTACACCAATGGAACAAAATAAACGACTTACAACTGTTGAGTATGATGAACATTGTCACCTGGATAATGATCCAACACTAGCAGATGTGAAGAGCTATCAGAGGTTTATTGGAAAGCTTTTATATTTGACCTTGACAAGACCTGATATTGCTTATAGTGTAAAAACTCTGAGTCAATTTATGCAAGCTCCCAAGCAGTCATCTTGAAGCAGCATACAGAGTAGTCAGGTATGTGAAGAATGAGCCAAGGATTAGAATTCTTATGCGTGCAGTTGGGGACATGACTCTTAGTGCACATTGTGATGCAGACCGGGCAAGTTGTCCTAACTCCAGAAATCAGTCACTGGATACCTTGTGAAGTTTGGTGGATTACTGATATCTTGGAAATCTAAGAAGCAGGCCACAGTGTCAAGGAGTTCAGCAGAATCTGAGTATAGAAGCATGGCCTTGACTGTGTCTGAGTTGATATGGTTGGTTGGAATGTTCAGAGAATTGGGAATAAAGGTTGTTACTCCAATTCAACTTTATACAGACAGTAAAGCAGCTATGCAGATAGCTAATAATCCAGTGTTTCATGAACGAACGAAACATATAGAGATAGATTGTCATTTTGTGAGGGAAAAGGTGCAACAAGGATTGATACATCCAACATATGTGCCAACAGAAGAACAGGAAGCAGATTTGCTCACAAAAGGACTAGGAACTGCTCAACACTATCATTTGATGTCTAAGCTTGGTGTTCTGAATATTTTTACCACACCTAGCTTGAAGGGGGGGGGGGTGTAGAAATTAACACGTGATTGATGCACTTGTAAAGCTGTATTAGTTTGTTAGAAGTTAGTTGTAGAAGTTAGTGATGGATGAAGTAGTGAAAGTCTATATATGTGTATAGGGATGTATGTATTTTTTGGCTTCTTTTTCAGAAAGTTAGTTAAAATTGATTTTCCCTCCATTGTCTCTTCTTCTTCGATCCTCTCAACTAGCTTCTTCCACTCAACAATGGTGGATTTCTACAAGTATTACTACAGATAAACAAACGGAATCATGTAATTACCAAGGTACACTAAAGTCTAACTTCCGTATGACTTTCCGAACACAATCTAGCTAATATGAGTGGATCGCCTATTTTTCGTAATGACTGTAAGATGACTCAAGATCGTAAATCATATAACATGATCATTGATCTCTCACCACAACATGGACGAGACATATTAATACCAAAAGTGTGAGAGAAGCAATTATTGTGCTGCTCAGTTAACAGATTGAAAATCAATATGGGTCTATTTGGAAAGTCACCCGATAATTGAAATTCGTGTAATTATTAAACTAGTAATTACACAGCCTAGCACTTACACATTCTAGTAATTACAATGACCTGTTTGTTTACCATAACATAATTACAGTGAAATTACAAGCGTACTATTTGGTTGCACAAGTGTAATTACACAGTAAGATTAAATTTTAAATTAAGTAATTATCGAAACGTAAAAGTTAATATAATAAATATATGCCTATAAATAATTTTTATAAGTATAAATGATATTAATGTGGTATTTAAGATGCATATTTTTTCTTGAATATACACTAATTAGTAATCATATATTTATAACTAATATTATCAAAATAATTGATATATATTTTTCAAATTAATAATATTTAGTTTAATTAATTATAAAAACTAAAACATATATTTTGTAAGAACATCATGGAATGCATGTTTGATAAAATAAATTAATATAATGCCATAACATTATGCAAATGTTTGACAACACTAATCTATCAATTCTAACTAAAAAGTGAACAATATGTAATGTGAAATAATAAGTCAATATTAAAGGTCCTCCCTTGTCACACTTATTTTTGCAGATGATCTAGTTCTAATGGGGAAACCAAACAATAAAACTTGCTCCACAATTCGTAATGGTCTTGATTTTTTTTGTGAAATATCTGGACAAAATATCAACTATAACAAATCAAGAATTGTTTTCTCCAAAAATTGTCACGATCCAAAATCCACTAAGGGTCGTGATGGCGCCGAACACCATTGTCAGGCAAGCCAACACTAAATAACTAGTAACTTTTCATTTTAGATATTTCTGAATTCACTTCTTTTATACATTTAAACAATTAAGAATAAATTTCACTGAATAAATAATGATATCTTTAACAATTTCAAAATACTGAATAATCCCATAAACATCCCAGAACCCGGTATCACAAGTGCATGAGCTAATTCTAGGAAAATCAAATGAAGTACAATAACTGTCCGGAATACAACTTGGACAGAAGGTAAATACTATACACTGAAAGAGACTATGCCGGCTGCGGGTCGCCTCGAGAGATGCAGCTCACCTAAATCTCCGTATCATCCATGGTGGTACATCCATTGGGTCGCTAGAAGTACATGTGCCTGTGCAACAAAAATGCACAACAAGTAGCATGAGTACGAAAACAACGTGTACTCAGTAAGTATCTCGTCTAATCTCGAAGAAGTACAGACGAGAGGTCAACTTCGACACTTACTAGTGGTCCAATAATGATACACCAATATAATAAATCAAGGATTTTATAAACAGGGTTGTAATTCAATAGAATGAATCAAGTAAACAATTCTTTCTTTTATTGGAAATTCCCAAATTCCTTTTCATCATTTATACATTTATTCTCAAGCCAGGGAGAAACAATATCAACTTCAATAAATTTCAAGACAAGCAATACAAGCATGTGTAAATCATGCCGAGGTTGTACGACCCGATCCAACAATATTTAAAATGTGCACTGCCAGAGGGTCGAATGGCGCGAACCATAGATGCATCTATTACCCCGCTCGTGAATCATACGTGCGATGCGATCAAATATAAATAAACAATCACCCTGCTCGTGAATCATACATGCGGCGCAGGTACTTGTCACGGCCCAATTCCCAAACCCCGGCCGTGATGGCGCCTCTCATGAAGACAAGGTCAGCCAGAACAAATGGAAACACCTCTTTTAACAATTTCTTAGCATAAATAGATCCACAAGGCGTATAAACAGTTATAAAAGCAAGAACAACGACAATAGCAAAGGAAACCATCCCGACACAGCCCAAACCGAGGTGTCACAAGTCATGAGCTACTACATAGTTACTATAAGTCTAAGAAATAGAATATCTGATACAATAGTCTGAAGAACTGAAATAACATAAAATAGGGGAGTCAAGGGGCTGCGGACGTCAACAGCTACTTCGAAGCTCCAACTCGCTGCCTGCCTGTAAAGAATATCAGTGCTCAGGAGCGGACTCTACTATGCCCAAATCTGCACACATGGTGCAGGGAGTAATGTGAGTACTCCGACCCAGTGAGTAATAATAATAAATAATAACTGAAGGCATGAAAACACATAAGTGCACAAGACAATGCTATATCAGGCAGTAAATCACTTTAAACAGTAAAACAGTAAAAAGTCAAATGAAGTCTCATTTTCTTAAAGACAGGTAAATCAGGTAAAACAGTAAATGAATAGTGAATAGTAAGACTGCCNNGTACGGAGCATCCGCTGACATCTGTCGAGAAAACCCTGGGCATCCTCGCCCTCAGCACCACTGAATGTCGGAGGCTAGAGTCTACCAAACCTCTCAAGACGACGCTGCTCATCCTCGGGCATAGCTGGAACCCTGAACTCCTGCGCGGGTGCAACTGGGTGAGCTGGAGGTGCCTTTGGAGTCTGTAATCCCTGCACTACCTGCTCAGGTGTGCGAGCAGCGGGGGTCTGATTGCCTCCCCCAGCCTGCGAAGTAGCTGCTGCTGTGGTGGCTGAAATGACCTGAGCCACGCCAGTGCAAACTGTCAAAATCTGAGCTAAAGTCTCCTGAAGGCCAGGAATCACGATTGGCACAGCTGGTGCCTGAACTGGTGCTGCTGGAGCCTGATCCTGAGCTGGGGCAATTGGTGGATAAACAGGCGCTGCCCCTGCTGCTCTGCCTCTGCCACGACCACAACCGAGTCCACGGCCTCTGGTGGTCTTAGTGGGTGGCACTGGTGGTCGTCCGCCACGTCCGGTAGCTCGTGTCCTCACCATCTGTGAGAGGATAGAATAAAGAGAAGTTTAGTACTCGGATCAACAAGTTCGCACGACAAGAATTTCAAGAATGTGGAATTTTTCCTAAAGGTTCTGCAGCCTCCCGAGGATAAGTACAGACGTCTCCGTACCGATCCGCGAGACTCTACTAAACCAGCTCATGACTCGTGAGACCTAGTAACCTAG